CCCTTTTGTAATTAGTCTTAGACATACAGGGACCCTTTTCTTCCTGGGCTTCCCAGGATGAGAAAAGAGCGAGAGCACATGGCGGCCATGGCTGAGAAACGCATGAGCAAAGGCCTTGAGCTGACTGCGCTTCAGAAGATGGCCCATGAGGTCATTAGCCAAGGCAAAGTCCTTGAGATCGAGGACATGCCCCAGGCATACTGGGATGAGAGAAATCGAATCGAACTCCATGAGATTGGAGTCTGCAGCCGCTGCCGGCATGCCTCAGGCTGCCTGAGCTGCGATGAGGGTAAGCTCCTCGCATACTGGATGAGGAGGGAAGCCCGCAGATTGGGCAGGAACATTGCCCCTAAGTACAAGCTTAGCTCTGCTGGACATGAGCTGGTCCAATGAGGAAAAGTCTGCCATCATGAGTTCTTTACGGTTTAGGCTTCAGGGTTTGGGGTTTAGGGTTAAGTCATAAGCCTCTAAATCCCCTAAATCCTTATTTCGGGGATTTTCGGGGATGGCCCCGTCTAATCGGGGGGGGTTTAAATGAGCTCCGGTACTATAGGGGTGGGGTCTAATGGACCTCTTCATTAAGCCCATGAAATGCCCGGGACCGCCCCGTCTAATCTGGGGGGGTATCTTAATCGGTAAACGACATTAACCTAAACCCCCCAAAACAGTCACGGCACCGTGGTGTTAGCACAGTAACGCGACAGACTGTTGCGAAAAAGCACAAACCGCCTAGCGCGCTTGCTGCGGCCCTAGGAATCAATATTGGCCTTTGGACTACAGTATATAGGAGCCTACGATAAGGACACCGATGGAAGATAGTACTACCAATTCATCCCCTTATCCCTGGGAGCAAAATAGCCCAAAAGCCTTCTAAAGTATGATCTTTGGGCCCAAAAGCTTTAATATATGAGTCCTTAGATCCCTAGGGTTTGAGCCCTCAGCCTTAACCTGAACGGCAACGTGCCTTGGGGCTGTGGTCCGGAAAGATGACTGGCTGAGGTTCAAGGTCCAAGAACCTTGGGACTTTGAGGCTACTATCGCGATGGGTCCAAAGGATCTAATTACTAGGCAATTGGGTTAGGATAGAAGCAATGAGGATGGTATTTTGGGGCGTGTGTGACTATTGGGTATTTGGACAGCTGAGGGCTGTCTGTGGTCAGCGTTGCGACACTCACGCTCACGAACGGCATGCACGGTTTAGGGCTTGAGGTTTATAGTTGGTCAGGGTTTAGAGTTTAGAGGCTGACTACATCTACCGCAGTTCTCGATGGTTGTGGGAGGGTCAGATATGTCATCTACCCGAGGAGAAATATCTCTAGACATGCACGGGTTTTCTGGCTTCAGGGGATTCAAGGTCCTACGATTGGTACCACAAACCCTGCACGAGGTTATAAGCCCAAAGCTCGAAGAGTAGTCTGTACTATCAGCGGTGAAGACGCACGCAGTGCAAGATCAAGGAACCGCTTCATGTCAACTGCTTGCAACTCTAATGCAGAGAGCCAGGGTCGCAATTGGGCCTGGGGTCTCGGGTGCTTCGCTGTAGCCCAAGTCCTGCGGTTCATATTCTTAGGGTCACCCCTGACGGCCTGGAATTGAAGGGCTTCGGAACGGGAGGCAGTTGGCTCGGTTTGGAAACAGTTGGGTCAGACCTGAAAACCCAAAACCCTCAGGGAAAACTTCGTAAACCCAGAGCCCCAAACTTCCTAAACCCGAAGCCTTGAACCCTTGAGCCCCTGAGCCCTAAACCCCTAAACCCTAAACCCCTAAACCCCTAAACCCTAAACCCTAAACCCCTAAACCCCTAAACCCTAAACCCTAAACCCCTAAGCCCCCTTCAAACATTCAAGGCCAAAGTGTCGTGACTTCGGGGATCCACCAGTAAAAAGCGGCTTGGGATTTCCTGACCAGATCGGTGTAGGCGCCTGGCCAAGCTTGCAGTGCTTCAACTAGACCCAGGAGTAACCTGGTAATAAAAAGGGTGCCCTTTTTGGTTTAAAGGGGCTTATAAGGGAACCTGAACCCCCAAAAAGGGAATAAGGGCTTACTCTGGGTCCTAGTCAAGGGTTGTAGGGGCTGGGGGGGCTAGATGGGTCCATGTCGAATTTCGGGTTTCGGCGCTCACACTCGGGCGATCCAGGCGAGGCATATGGTTCGAGATCTGTTGAGTGGGACTGTTCTAAATTTGGGAGTGTGCCGGAAAATGCTCAGAAATTTCAGGTTTAGGGGTTATAGGCGTAGAACTTTAGGGCTCTTAATTCTCGGTCTTGGTTTTTTAGGGCCTGAGGCCGGAAACGACATATTAGCTACACTAGGTTATACCTCAAATCAAAGGGGACTGGACCGACTCTATCTCTGGGTTATACCATGCATCACGGTAGACTATATGGGAGTTTCCGAAAATTAGGGGTACCTTCTTTTGGGGGGCCTTATAATAAGGATCTGACTATTTAGGGTACTATATTAGGGTCCCCTATTTTCGGAAACTCCCATATGGCAAGGGTCGGAGAAGGCTTCGCAACCAGCAGGAAGGAGTGCTTGGCACCCGACAGTCGCGGGAAAATGAGCAGAAGCATCTAGCGGCCATCACGAGAAAAAATCCAGCGTGCTCCAAACAGTGGAACTAAGGATCCGATGAAAAGTGTTCGTTTTGGTTTGAATGGCGGCCGGCCAGTCACATGGACTTATACTCTGCGATCCAAACGCCTAACTAACACGCAGAAGGAATCTCAAATGCGTCAAAAATTGTCTATGCCCTCCGCCGCTGCCCCAACCTGGTTATAAAGTCTTGACACTAGGTCCGGTGATCAATGAAGCACCCGTAGCCGCAGTGCAGCCACAGCGTCTCCAATTCCGGGCCACCCCAATGGCCATCGGGACGGAATGGAAAGCCTCTTCTGTCACCAACAGCGACATACATCGCCACTAACGCCGGGGTTTCGGCGCTCACACCCGGACAAGCTCTACAAGCTCTATGGCTTAGGGTTTCGTGTTTCTACATGGCATGAACAGGATGGCAATCTTAGGCTCCACTTTTACGTAACCTATTTATGCCTTCGTACGTTCCCTTATTGCCGTAAGTAGGCAAGCCAGAGATCCCCCTGCAGAATCCTCGTTAGAGCCTGTGTAGATCTATAATGTAACTCAAAGTCAGGCCGCCTGTTTGCTACCATGTTTAACATTACGACTGGTGTTACTATTTGCTGTTACTTTTAAGGATGTTGTTGTTACTGTTACTCATTGTTCTTATTCTGGTTCTTCGAAATTCAATTAAAGGACGAATTATATACCCAACTCCCAGCTAAGCCTCCTGTAACGATGAAGTCCCCAACCCTTAATCTAAATCCTACACCGCAATTCCTTCTGGCCAGCAGGCATCTGTTAGTATTACGGTACTATAACCCTAATTAGGACTAATTCCTGACCCCCAAAAGCCCAAAACCCTAGCAAAGAGCAACTTCTAACCCAACTAGGACTACAACCAACTCCCCATTGGCCCTAAGACCTTAATCCAAGCAAGTTGAGAGGCAATTATTGTGGCAGTTGTAACCCCAACTGGGGTTAGACTAAGCCACACTAAACAATCACTCTAAGCCTTAAACCCTGCAATATACATGTAATGTGCATATATATATATATATATGTATATATATGTATATATATATATGTATGTATTTATATTGATGTAATCATTTTCTATTGTGTTGATTCTGTTCTCTGCCATATATATATATATATATATATATATATATATGTATATATATATATATATATATATGTATATATATATACAAGATCAGCCCAGACGCCGCCCACTGCATGAAAGTTTCTGCATGGAAGCCCCCCCCGTAGGTCAAGACCTTGGCCGCAGGCGGAAACTTTGAAGACCCAGATATACCCCTTACAAGGCATACATATACATACACAGATTTGCGTAGATATGTATATAGATTTTTTTCTAGAAATTCTTACATATGAAAAAAAGGGCAGCGCAGACCAACAATAAAAGCGTAGCTACCGGAAATCCAAACAGAGTGATGTCGCTAAGGGTTGGGCAAAGAGTTGCTTTGAAAGGATTTGTGAGTCTTTTCTATACTGAACTTAGAACCCCAGCAAAAAAAAATAGCTGTTTCTTAGGGATTATAGTAACCAAAACTTGAAAAATATGTCTAAGTATCCCTAAGGTTTTACCAGGGCCTTGCTTGATGGGGCCTTACAGTGCGTGGCTTTACGGGAGCTGCGCAGCTGAAGACCGGCGATGAGATTCATGGGCCCTTTGGGATCCTCGTCCCAGGGCCCTTTGGGATCCTCGAAACAAGTTCATGGTTGGGATAGCACTAAACATCTAACATTTCGATTCCTGATATTATTGGGCTTTTGAGTCCTTGGTCCCCATAAAAACTGTGAAATGCTACCCAACTCCTAGACCCAAGAGTAGCCTAGGAATAAAAAGGGTGCCCTTTTTAGTTTAAAGGGGCTTATAAGGGAACCTGAACCCCCAAAAAGGGAATAAGGGCCTACTCTAGGTCCTAGACTCTGAGAAAGGAACGGTCCGAGCCCTGCTCTCATTAGAGATCTGTGCCTGGCGCAAGCCGGAGGGCACCTGATGTCGCCGCCACCATTATCGTATTGACCGAAATAGGGGACCCTAATATAGTACCCCAAATAGTAGGTAGGATCCTTATTATAAGGACCCCCAAAGAAGGTACCGACATCGACGACTGGAGCGTTTCCCGCTGATGTTGTTTCGGCTACTGTTGCTCCTGGCGCGGCGGATCCCTCCTAATGTGGCAACAGCTTGATGCTGCTGCCGCTGCTGTTTGCCTTCTCCGCTTTGTCAGGCTGATGATGTTTCTGTTGCCAGAGATGTACTTCGCCTACTACTGCACCTATGACGACGACTCCAGTACTCATTGAAGGTATGTCCGTATCGATGCCCGGCCTCGTCCGTGTTATCTTTTAGTTGTGACGATGATGTAATAATCTGCGCCTGTAAGCTGCCTCTAAGCGGCTGGAATGCATTCTGAGATGTTGTACCGGCAGGCTGGTGACACCTCGGCTTGGCATGACGGGCTTAGGCCTAAGCAGCTTGGGACACTTGAACTGACATACTAGCAGGGACCACATCCTTCGGGGCAAAATGCCCACTGTTGCAGCTGTACCGGTGACTGCGTCCTAGTGCGGCTGCGGGAATGAAGGATTCACATCTCGCATCTTGCCCACTCCTGCCTTGCGACTCGTCATCTCGCCAAAGGTGAAAACCACAGACTCTAGGCACGTACAGCCAAGCCTGCTAACGGCACCCAAACCGAAGACGCTAACAGCCAAGACCGAAGACGCTAACAGCCAAGATTTCCACTAAACATAACCAATTGAAACAGAGTGCTCTCCACTGGACATTGCCACAAACCGGTTTACGATTCAGGGTAGAAGTTCTGGGTGCGCGGCCAAACACGAAACACTACAGAGGCCTTCATCGTTGGAATAGGGTTTAGGGTATATTGTCGTATATCTATAATCGAACCCAGGAAACATAATGAGAATTAAGCTACAAGTAGCTTCTATAGTACATGAGTTCGGTTGTAAAACCGACAACCTCGTAGGTTAGCTTAGTTGTGGGCGGGCGGATGCAACAAGACAGGGTATTCGTGGCAGCACAACTGTGGTGTTGTGGGCGTGCGACTTACCCATCCTTGAGTGGCAACCTAGCAAAACCTCTCCGCTACTAGGTAGTTCGCAGTGTAGCTATAGCCCAGCACAGATATGAGGTATAGCGACCTGATGCCAGTTCCATCGAATGTACCTTGCCTTACAACACTCTATTTGGCATTTTGGAACGCCACTCCGGGTATTTTGGCTAAAGGTGCCCACCAGTGCGTCTGATCGCACTTGGCAATGAACTTGCCGTCGTTTACCTGTGCACACAGGACGCTGTCGATGCACAAACAAATGCGAATGAGTGGCCACTGCTGCTTCAAGGCACGGTCATATCGTGCACACAACCCTAAAGCCTACAAACCCTGGCAACAGAGGCGGCAGCTGAAAATTGTCATGACTTCAGAACCTACATCTACTGAATCTACTGGCTGAGTGCATCGGAATTGCCACCCCAAGAAATCGCAATGGAAGCTGGTCAATTTTTTTGCAGAAGCTTGAAGATACTCAGATCTAGGTTGTAGCCGGTGGAGCTGGCCTGGGTGCTTGATTGCTGCTGCCGGAGACTATGTTGGGAGCCCCGTAGTCAATTTAAAAGGTTACTGGCCTGTGGATGATATATAGGTTTACACAGGGGTTTAAAAAAAGCAACCCCGCGATGTACAAGTCAGCGAGCTCCTGGGTTTAGTAGGTTTTGGTTTACAGAGGGCCGTTGAGATGGGAGGCCAAAAGGGGGGTCTAAGATTCTTGGGGTAGGGATTCCTGAGTATGAACCCTATTATGGGAACCCTAATCCCTACTAAACCCCCATAGGCTAAAAACCCTTTCGGCCTCCTATGAAGCCTTAACCCTAAACTCTATAAATCCTTAAAAGGAACCCTTATAGCACCCTTTAAAGAAACCCTGGGAACCCTACAGATAACCTCCTGTGACGTTGGTTGCATTGTCAATCGCGGCGACGTTTCCCGCTAGACCAATCAGTACTTTGGGGATCGGGGCTCGGGCTTCTGGATGCCCACGGCACTACCACAATTCACTGCCTGTATACATATATATATATATATGTATACATATATATATATATATTTATGTGTGCGTGTGTGTACGTATACATATAAATATACATGTATATATATATATATGGTAACCCCCCCCCCCAGGACCAACCTCGGCCATTGTCCTGCTCATTACTGTCTTCACAGCGTCATGAATAAGAGCCGAAACCACTGTAAATACCGATGGTGTTTGTGTTCCCGTACAAAGTTTGCACTCTCGACGCCTCTTGACAGACTGGTAAAAAACAGGGTCCAGTTTTATGGACACCATTTACACTCTCGGCGCGTCTTGTCGGAGTGGTAAAAGACAGAGTCCAGTTTGTGTGCCTCATCCTTTATTAATTATTGTCATCTTGTCAAAGTCTTATTATTAGTTTCAGTCTTAAAAAAACAGTGTTAACATTGGTCTTGAATTTTGTTCTAAGTTTTAACCTCAACTATTGTGAGTAGTAACCTTAATATTTTTGCTAGCGTTAGCATTATTATTAGTTTTGTGTCATTACTAATTTTAGAAGTTCTAACAATGCTGTGGTATCTGTCCAATATTACTGTTCGTTTGATTAGTGTTCCTGTTAGTGCTGATGCTGGTGTCAGTGTCAACGTCAGTGTTAGTCTTAATATTAATATGAGTATTAGTGCTCCAGTTTAATTTAATATATGTCTATAGCAGTGTTAGTGTTAGTGTTCGTGTTAGTATTCGTATTAATATTAGACGTGGGCTGGGCTTTAAAAACTTAGTCTTAGTACATTATGTGTATAAGTATTCATATGTGTATATTCAGTATATTGGTATGTAAACAAAACATATATATTCATTAAATTTTTTTTTGGGTATACTCGTATATTGGTATATTAGTAACAATGGTCTATTGGTATATCAGTTTCTCAGTATATTAATATATTAATTTATTAGTATATTAGTATAATGCTATGACCGTACATATTGGTAAATGAAAACATTGAGTTTTTAACAATCTGATGCATTCATTTCCTTGTGCCTTATTCTGATGTATTCTTTAGTATACATTACAAAAACGATATTGACATTAATATGATGTTTGTAAATTCATATTGGTATTGATATTAACATGAGTTGTCATCTTGTCAAAGTCTTATTATTAGTTTCAGTCTCAAAAAACAGTGTTAACATTGGTCTTGACTTAATTTTGTTCTAAGTTTGAACCTCAATTATTGTGAGCAGTAACCTTAATATTTTTGCTAGCGTTAGCATTATTATTAGTTTTGTGTCATTACTAATTTTAGACGTTCTAACAATGCTGCTGGTATCTGTCCAATATTACTGTTCTTTTGATTAGTGTTCCTGTTAGTGCTGATGCTGGTGTCAGTGTCAACCTCAGTGTTAGTCTTAATATTAATATGAGTATTAGTGCTCCAGTTTAATTTAATATATGTCTATAGCAGTGTTAGTGTTAGTGTTTGTGTTAGTATTCGTATTAATATTAGACGTGGGCTGGGCTTTAAAAACTTAGTCTTAGTACATTATGTGTATAAGTATTCATATGTGTATATTCAGTATATTGGTATATAAACAAAACATATATATTAATAAAAAATTTTTTGGGTATACTCGTATATTGGTATATTAGTAACAATGGTCTATTGGTATATCAGTTTCTCAGTATATTAGTATATTAATTTATTAGTATATTAGTATAATACTATAACCATACATATTAGTAAATGAAAACATTGAGTTTTTAACAATCTGATGCATTCATTTCCTTGTGCCTTATTCTGATGTATTCTTTAGTATACATTACAAAAACGATATTGACATTAATATGATGTTTGTAAATTCATATTGGTATTGATATTGATATGAGTATGTAATAATCTTTCTATATTTGTATGAGCACAAATAATTTTGCTAGTATTATGCATGTTCGTACTAGCCGAAGTATTAGTGCTCATATTAATATCAATATGGTTCTAAAGAGACTATTAATGTCGGTATTCATACTGAGAATAATTTTGTTAAGAACATGAGCATAAATACCCGTAGGAATATTCATACATATGCTTGTATTGGTATTAATACTCGTATTAGCATGAGTACTAGCATTAGTACGCATCTAGGCATGACGATTCTTATATGAATATAAAAGGGGAACATGATTATTAGTATTCGTAAGAACATTAGTTTTCCTATACATTAATGCTAACTAATATTACTATGCATATTAGTATTGGCAAGAACATTAAAGTTCGTGTTCACATCAATTCTAAAATTGGTATTAATACACTTTTTTCAATATTAGGAGTAGATACTAGTAGTAGAATTAAAATTAGTATGAACAAAACATGCGTTGGTATTCGTCGGAATATGAAACTTGAGGTTACACTTCGTATGAGTTACTAGTACTACTGAAAAACATACCAATGCTGATATTAATACGAATGCTAACATTCATGTAGGAGCATGTTATTATGCACGTTCGCACTAGCCTTAGTGCTAATATTAGCATGAATATGAGTACTCCAAAAATGAGTAATTTCACGAATATGCATAGCCAATATTCATACTAGCGATAATACTAGCTATAGTATGTATATTAGTATTCGCATCAAGACTATTCATACAATGTACATGATTTCAAGTATTCTTGGGAACATCAGTATTCATACTAGCATACAATCAGTTTCACCAGTAGTATTACTATAAGTATTAGTACTCGTATGAGTATTATAGTTTTCAAAGTTTTCAAAATAATATCAATATTACTACAAGTATCAGTTGCACAGACACGTCAACCGGCGACGTCGCGAGGTCGAGTTCCCTAAATTCTCTAATCACTGCTTCCATGCCTCGAATTTACAGAATGCGTGAGTTCCTGCAGACTCCCTAAATCCCTAAAGTCTTTACATACCCTAATTTCCAGCCCCATGTGTTGGTTTTAGCGCATTCCCTAACATTCCTGACTCCCAGCCCGGACCATGTGTTGGATTTAGGGAATTCCCTAAATTCCCTAAATTCCCTAATTTCCCTAAATTCCCTAATTCCCTACCCCATGTGTTGGATTTGGGGAATTCCCTAAATTCCCTAAATTCCCTAAATTCCCTAAATTCCTTAAATTCCCTAAATTCCCTAAATTCCCTAATTTCCCTAAATTCCCTAAATTCCCTAATTCCCTACCCCATGTGTTGGATTTGGGGAATTCCCTAAATTCCCTAAATTCCCTAAATTCCCTAAATTCCCTAAATTCCTTAAATTCCCTAAATTCCCTAAATTCCCTAAATTCCCTAAATTCCCTACCCATGAACGGAAACCATTGAATCTTCTCCATGGGGGTCAGACTTAGGGAATTTAGGGAATTTAGGGAATTTAGGGAATTTAAGGACTTTAGGGAATTTAGGGAATTTAAGGAATTTAAGGGAATTTAGGGAATTTAGGGAATTTAGGGAATTCCCCAAATCCAACACATGGGGTAGGGAATTAGGGAATTTAGGGAATTTAGGGAATTTAAGGAATTTAGGGAATTTAAGGAATTTAGGGAATTTAGGGAATTTAGGGAAATAGGGAATTCCCCAGATCCAACACATGGGGTAGGGAATTAGGGAATTTAGGGAATTTAGGGAATACCTAAATCCAATGGGTAGGGAATTAGGGAATTTAGGGAATTCAGGGTTGGTCTTGGGGGGGGGGGCTAGCATATATATATACACACATTCACATATATATATATATATATATATATATATATATATATATATGTATATGCACTCCAAAACTGGCCAAGGATGCTTGGCCTCCAAGACGCCATCCCGATCGCCTGTCCAACGCAAGTAGCTGGCCATGAGGACCTTACGCGGGAATCTAAAGCCACCTAACTGGGGCCTTAACAAGATCAAAGGGTAAAAGGAGGGACCCCTAATGAGGACCCCTAGGTATATACCCATAATATGGCCATTATATACCCATTACATAGCCCATTACAGGGTAGGGGTCCCCATTACGGGTCCCTCCTTTTCCCCTTTGACAAGAAGAACCAGGTTCCTGGGTATACATTCTGCTATCGGGGGAAGAGCCTAGTCATCCTAACGTCACAAAACAGAACCCTGCATATGAGTGTTGTGTATAGGTGTTAGAGTTGCATAGTCCGGGCTTCGTATGTGTCGCGAGTCGGTGGAAGGGATGTGGGGGGAGCTTTTTCGGGGAGCTTCGCGCAGGATCTTAACTGAAGAAGTTGCAAGCTGCCATAGTTTCTTTCCAGCCACAAGAGAACCGGAGCAGCTGACAAAATGTTAACCCAAAACTCCTCGGGCCAAAGACGCAGCAGTTCAGCCATGGCTCTGTGTCCTGGAACGTGGATCCCGGAAAATGGCCTTGGGCCGCGGCTTGTTTAGCAGAAGTAGGGGGAGATCAGTGCTTCCGGCTTTTCGGGCTTCAGGGTTTGGGTTTCGGCGCTCACACTCCGATGATAGGGGACCCCAACAGAGTAAGATCCCTATTATAAGGACCCCAGAATAAGGGACCCCCCTATTTTCGGAAACTCCCATAAATCAATCAAGACGATGCAAGAGGCATGGCTTCAGCATCGTGGAGTCGATGTCGAAAACCGAATCCTCGAGGTGCAGACGACTGCTTGGAGGGTCGGGGGACTTAGTAACTATAAGGGGTTCCTTAAGGGCCCCTTTAAAGGGATCTACAGGGATTCTATAAGGGTATAGGGTTTAGGGTTTAGGGGGACTTAGTAACTGGTTATTTTGGGGACTTATAAGTACCATAACCCCAATTAGGGTCCCTGTTAGGGTACTTATAAGTCTACTTACTACCTACTTACTAAGTGCCCCGATCCTCCAAGTGACGAACAAGTAGAGGGTCGCTCGCATTGCTTTTACGGAACTAGGCAGTGACTCTGCAACCCATGTTTTTGTTTATGGTGAATCGCACATCCTTGAAGCTTCTGAGAAAAACCTGCATGAGCCCGTCCGAAAACGGCTCTCAGTACTTTCACCACTCAAGGCAAGGATCAAAGTACTTGTGCACCTTGTGGTGGGACACGTTGTAACCTTCAGCTGCAAGGCACAATGAGCCGGGTCTGAAAGCTGCAGAACAACCGGGAAAGCCATGACCAGGAAGTGTCAGGGCTTGATCAAACGAAAATTCATCCTGCGGCTTCTCAACACGATGTTGGCAGCAAAGTGCGCATGCTAAATTGAACCCTACACCCTGTCTTTCTTTCTTTCTCTACAGGGCCTGAGAGTCCTCTCTCTCTCTCTCTCTCTCTCTCTCTCTCTCTCTCTGTAGCTCTGGAAATCCGAGAAGATTGGCGGAGTGTTGAGCTTTTGTTAAGGAACTTACTCTCGGCGTGATCTATATGCAAGTAATAAGGCTCATTTTTAACTAGATTCCGTATCAAGACCCCCAAAAATGTTGGTACTCATGTCACCAGCTCTTTAACCCTAAACCCTAAACCCTAAACGGTTGCATATTCATGCTCAGGGTCTCAGCTTTTTTTTTTTTAGACGGCCCTTTTCTCCCATTCATGCGTCGCTGAGCAGTAGAAAGCAGAGTCCTGCTGGGCGTATCTAGGGTCTCAGCTTTAGGGTTTAAGGCTCAGGGGCTTGGGTTCTGAATAGCTAGGCCCCCCTCTCCCCGCCCCTGCCCCCCCGCTCCTCCCCCTGTCTTTACGTGGTTGATTTTCCGACCCTCGGATTGGCTCGGACTCCTTGTGGTGCTATCCTCTCCCAAGGTCCATTCAATCCATTTTTTTCGAAATGCGGGGTTGGGCACATCGACATCTAATCGTGTAGTCGCAAAGGGAGTACAAGCTCGAGGAACAGCACTGCTGAACAGTGATGCCCGCATGTGGCACGAGCCAGAATGCACGTACACACTACAATCTCAGCCCAAGACTGCCCGTACCAAAAAACGCTCTAGCACTAGCCGCTATAGCGACTCCAACAAGACAAGATCGAACATCCAGCGGCCCAATCCCCCCTCCGAGCTCGCTTGTCTTCAAACATCAAGGCCAGTTTGGACAGTCTGCTGTGCGGACCCTGAACCTGGCACGTGCCAGTGACAATAAGGGGTGAACGTGTGCGACGATGGGCTAACGTGGCTGTGGCCTTTCGTCCAAGAAGCCTTTGTAGAAATCCAGCATCACACCCTCCGCCTGACGCAATACTGAATTAGGATCTGCATTGGGTTGAGATTGTGGGTTTCGAGGCACTTGTTCGAATTTTGTTGTCAATGAACAGCTCGGGCTTCGGGGATGGAAGCTTTCCAAGCCAAGTGGATACATCTGCCGCGCCAAACCTCTGTCTGGTAAACATCGGTCCATGCGTCGGCCTCGTATGCATCCACCAACGTCTGCTTTTTGACAAACATGTGCCTCGGTTGGGTGGGGGGTTTCTGAGACGGGGCACCCCTGATTTTGGAGTCATGTACATCACTGGGCGAGTAGAACCAGGAGCTACGCTGCTCCCCACCACAAACATGGCAGGATCCTTGGTACTGCTTTGTGAACACAGAATTTTCGGCTGATCAGCACAAGACCCCCACTAAACTCCAAACGACGACCGGATCCTTGTGCTAAGGACCAACCCCAAATGGACGACTGCCTTGACGCTCTTGACCCTGCATCGCCATCCCGGCAACGATCGAAGAAACACATGCCATGGCGAACTTACGTGCACTGCAAACAATATCCGTTCCCGAGGTCAATTCCAGCATGCCGATGAGGGAGTTTCCAAAAAATAGGGGACCCTAATATAGCACCCCAAATAGTAGGATCCTTGTTATAAGGACCCCAAAATAAGGTACCCCTAACTTGCGGAAACTCCCATGCGAGCACCAAACAAACTACCTAGACTCTGGACTCTCGACCTGCTCGATCTATGCCCTACTCGACCCTAAATACCCGTTAATTAGGACCATCTACCCCTATCTGAAAGGTATAAGGAAGGTCCTGGTAACCTCTGCTTTTAGTCTGCAGTCTAGCTGCCAACTAACACTAAAGCAAAAATACTAATAACTGTAGATGTTAACATCCCCCATGGATGAGCCCGACGCCCCGAGCTTGAGGTCTGGCCCAGGTACTCTCGGCCAGTCCAGCCCATTGCCCCCAAGTCCTGTAAGTGCTTTGAAGGGCTTCCTTGATGGGATCCCTAAAGGTTTTATGTTGGGGAATTAAGGGTCTGGATTAGGGGACCCTTGAGGATATAGACCCTCTCAATGAGGTCCGTTGTGAGAGAGGGTCCACTTTGAGGGGTCTCCCTAATGCTACTTAGGAACTATCCGGGCCTTAGCCTTAATCATTAGAATAAGGCTTGGGTTCCCTGGTTTTTAAAATCATGTAGGGACCACAAGGGGATACTGTTGACAGTTACTGCGACCTCTCTCCGAGAGGCCAGGGTCAGCTAGGAATGCGCATAGGGTTTAGGATTAGTCGCATGTGCTGTTTAGGGGTTGTGGTTCCAGGTTTTGGCGGGTTTAGAGTGTCAGGGGCCTCGCAAGCCACTAGCAGGGTTCACAACAAAGGTTCTGGCTTCTATCCGGAGAGTTGGGCACGCAATGCTTTAGAAGCGGTCTAGCCAAAAAGTGCGCACGTAGTCGATTGCACTGTGCTGGTTTACGAGTCAGCTGCAGGAGAAGCACCGAAGAAACGGGCTCGAGCACGCAAACGAAGAAACAACGAACAATGTCCGCAACAGCTCCACCGGCATCGACCAAGGCAGTGACCGTTTGTGGCAGGGATGGTGAGGATTGAAAAAAAGGGAGATGATGATGATGATTATGCTGAAAATGACCATGATGATGGAACTTGTGATGCTGATGATGGTCTTGCCCGAGCCGCCTGCAACGACTACAAAAGGCGACGTTCATAATGATGCCCATGACTAAACATCAGGATTGTTATCGTCATGATCATCCCCATCATCAACATCGATGTCACGATGCCAACAGACCACTCGTTCGTTCATCGTTTGTCCAAAAAAAGCCGCTGAACGGTTCCAATTGTTTGGTAAATTCTCGCCCCACGCAGCTGCAGCACTACACGGGCCAGCAGTCCTTGGGTGCGTGGGTGGAGAACATCTCCTGAACCTGTCGAATGGTGTAAAATCTAGTCCGGGGATTCTTGCTTCCGGATACTTCAGGGGCTTGTCGAAAGGCATAACGGGTTGGGCGGGGTCACCCAACGAAAAACTCTAATACCCAAATTGCCGGCATCCGCCCCGGCCGGTGCTTCTCCCCCTAGCTTGAAGAGGTAGACTATGTGCACAATATATAGGGGCCTCAACAACTAGAACTGGGCTTTCGGGCATATCCGACTATCGTTATGATGCGGAACCCTGCGGAAAACACTCGTAATTGTTTAAGCCCCTAATATAGAACCCGATTTCAGATCCCTCATAGACCCCTTCAAGGATCCCTTTAAAGAGAAGCCCCTGGAAATTATTCAGGCCCCTATACATCACCTGGAAAGCACGGTGCGCCCACCTCATCCCAGGAGTCGATATTGGTCCCCAGCCATGTAGCCATGGCAATGTGGATCCTGTACCCAAAACAGCCAGTGACATGGAAAACAGGAATTCTCCGCAAACCATCCATCTTCTAGATGCGGTGTTGTGCATATTCCTCCAATGAGCTCTATGATACAGAGCTAGATGCGAAAAGCCTGGGACTAGGCTTAGGTGCCTTGGATTTGATGGCATGTTGCATGCGACACCAAATCCAGCAGCCCCGAAACAACGCTTTAGCCTGAGGCTTGGTATGCTGGTCAACAAGCAAACTTGGAAATGAAGCTGATTAATACCAAAACACATCTTGATCGCTACTCCTACGTTCTGTGGCCGTAAGGGCGATTGGTTGTTGTTGAAAGCTTTGCTTGTGTTACCCTCTCTGCACTAGCATTTTTCTCGCCATCCGTGGCTGATTCCGATCACCTCTGCCACCCAACTCCTTCCGTACACCCAATGAGATATGCGCGGAACTTGAAACATGGTTTTGGCTGCTAATGCTAGAGTGGTATTTATAAACAGGGTGACAATAAACACATTCGCCGGGGCAGAATTTCCGGGAGCAAGATGAAGTAATTTACGTAGCCAGAATGCCCAAACGTGACAATAAACAAACTCCGGGCCCAAATTCCCCCCCAAACCCATTATTACTACCATTAATACTATTACTACAACCCCGGACACGGCCGGAGGTTTCTTGTTGCCACCCTCAACCCAAACCCTGGCCCAAGAGACCCCCGCGCAGAACTTTAATTGGGGAGGCTATTAATATCACCCCAACATGAGTCAGCTTGTTGCCTTATGAGGAAAACCGCAAGTACACGCAACATTCAAACATTTTGATGACCACGTTTGTATGTTACATATCCACTTACAAACCCGCACCCCTAGAAAACCCATGACAAGTCTGAAGAATGAAAAACCTATTATTTTTGGAACTAGACTTACAGCCCCAACGTCATGTTAGCAACCCAGGCCCTGAAACGCCCACCCGAAACCCGTAAACCCATAACCCCCCCTAAACCCCCCAAACCCTATAGTCCCTAGCTCCCCCAAAGACCCTAAACCCCCAAGCCCTGAACCCAAATCCCCAAACTAAACCCGTAAATCCTAGTCCCCTGCTCCCAAAAAGCCCTGAAACCCCCCAAAGCTACGGAAATCGCTGTCCTGAACCCTATCTATAGTCCCTAGCTCCCCCAAAAACCCTAAACCCCCAAAGCTCTCAAAACCCCCAAAGCCGCGGAAATGGCTGTCCTGAGGTCGGGAGTGCCGCTGGCACACATGGGACCTTCAGCCTGAGCCACTCGGAGGGCTTTGGAGCTTAGGGACTCTGGGTTTAGGGTTTAGGGCTTGTAAGGGTCTAGGGTTTAGGGTTTAGGGTCTAGGGTTTAGGGCTTATAAGGGTCTAGGGTTTAGGGTCTAGGGTTTAAGGCTAACTTGTAAGGGTCATTTTTTGAGCTCCTCTTTACGGCTGCTCACTCGTCTGAGCTTCCCACAAGGGTCGAGGGTAGGGTTTTGGGTTCAAGGTTTCAGCACTCACAACTAGACAAAGCAGGCGAGGATCCCAGTACCAGAACGATGAAGCACGTTGGCTGCTTAAGGTTTAGGGTCTAGGGTCTATAAAGGGCTTATACGGGTCCAGGGTTGAGGGCTTGCAAGCGTCTAGGGTTTACGGCTTATAAGGGTCTAGGGCTGAGGGCTTGTAAGGGTCTAGGGTTTAGGGCTTATAAGGGTCTAGGGTTTAGGGCTTATAAGGGTCGGCTTATAGGGTTTATAAGGGCTTCTTATAACAAGGGTTTAGGGTTTAGAGTAGCTAGGGATTTTGGGAGTTTCGAAATCCATATGTGTTGTTTCCAGGCGCACCTCATGGGAGTTTCCGAAAATGTGGACCCTAATATAGCACCGTAGATAGTAGGATCCTGATTCTAAGGACCCCCAAATAAGGTACCCCTAATTTTCGGAAACTCCCACATCTGTGTGCGAGGACTTTTGCGGCTGAATCTTTCTTTGACACTCCCACTCGGACAAGCCTGGCAAGGTCTGCAAACAGACAAGGTGCGGCTTAGTTAGGGTTTTTGGCTTCATGATTTCTGGGGTTTTAAAGCTTTGGCTTGTTGGTGTGGTCTTAGGTCCTGCAGAGGCTTCTACACAAGTATTGCGGTGTTCGGCTTTATTGAGTTTGGGTTTTGCTACTTCAGGGATGGGGGAGAAAGGACACCGGTAGAAGGTTATCCTACTAGGTCTAATAGTCGCTGAAGTACGTTTGGTTGGTTCATGGTTGTGTCTAGGTGCCTTTATGGTTTACCCTTTGCCAAACTAACAGTAGCGTACTTACTCAAAGCGACAGGTGCAGACAACCTTCATCTTGGAGGAAGATTAAGTGCTGTTCCGTGCTAGTTTCTAGGGTGCTAACTGCAAAAGCTTCTAGAGTCTAGAACCATGCAAGCCGCGTAGCCATTAGGGAAAAATCTCATATACCACGGCTGATACTAATGGAAGCCTGCGAATAGAAAACCTCTGAAGTGAACCTCCGGAGCAACTACCTACTGGAAGCCATTCGAGGTGTTTCGAACCCTCGATACAATCGACTTTTTAGGGCATCAATGAATTGCCCTGAGTTCGTAAGCGTTGACACCCACCGTACCTCCTCTGGATGCCACGCGATGGATGCCAGTTTGTACAAGCAACGCAGGATGTGATGGGCACGTGGCTCAGTAGATGCACGATTAATCGAGGATGTCGTTCGACGCAATTACGTTCTATACGATGCACGAGTGCAGCTAGAAAAGGTAGCATATCGTGGAGCGAGAAAGATCTGTATAAGGCCGTGGCCCCAATACCTTTCAACCAACCGAAGGCAAGCAGCATCGTTGTAGTTTTGGCAGCCGGCCAAAGCAAGAAATGCGTACCGGGATCTAAGCGCGGGATCCTAAGCTGCAAGGCTCACGAGGGTGAGGTCTGGGGTTGCTTGCGAGGGTTTGAGGCCCAGCATCTTGGAGTTTGCTAGTGCTTGTTCGGTCAGCCGGGTTTAGTCTAGAGATTTGTTGGCAACGGTTTGCTTTAGCGCTTTTGGAGGTTTAGGGCTTAGAGACGTTAGACTAGGATTTATGCGGCGAGGTGGCTCGGAAAATAGCAACTCCAAACTCTTAGCGCAGGCAGAACATCAGTGAGTCTCACAGCCATGACTTCGCAGCAACGCTAGTAGAGCCTACTGTGGACAGAAAAGAGACGGTTGTGGAAACTGTCCAGCCAACGGTAGGCTCGGTCGACCAGGCGTTTCGGCTCAGGTTGGGTCACGGTAAGTCTTCAAAGTGGCCTGGCTCTTTTCTGCCCTACTTCTCGCGTGGCCCTGGCAAAAATGTCTAAAGGCCAAATGGCTGCGGCACGTCTGAAGCCTGGAGTTCCAACTTCCATGACCATCTAGGAGTTCCCGAAAATATGGGACCCTTATATCATACCCTAAATAGTAGGATCCTGATTGTAAGGACCCCAAATAAGGTACCCCTAATTTGCGGAAACTCTCATCTAGGTGGCCTTTCAAGCGGCTGCTAGACAGATGTGTCAACGCAGCTCTGTTCGCAGTCTAGCTCCAGGTGCCGCAGTTATAATTTGGACCTCTCGCAACGAAGGAGCCACAGCATGAAACTTGCTTTCGCCATCGCAAATTCATTCCAAGCTTCTGCATCCGCGGTGGTATGATACCCCAAGACCTGTTACAACCAAGCAATCGGCACTTAACCGAAAAGCTGCTAGAAAGCAGCTACCTGTAGACAGTTCGCCTCGCCTTTCGCCCCGAACTCAACAATAAACCATGCCAGACCTGCTGAGGCCCGTAAAACATGTCTCTTTCACCCACCTATTTTGCCTCCCGCCTGGCTAGGATGCTTTGGGCTTTCGGTGTGTTCGGGTTCATAGCTGGTCAGGCAAGAGAGAACAATCAACACTTTGCTGCAGATGCACTTGTGTGTATGTATACGATTTGACAACAGGTCAAGCTATACGAAATTCGCTGAACCTTGTGTGCTACCAGCATCGCACCTGACATTTGCTGATAGAAATAGTCACAAGGTGTCATAAGCATACTACTCGTAATAGCGAAAGTAATCGTATGCAAGTCCCAATGCTTTCGCGCAGACGGATCAGCCAAAGCACCTTCTAAAGAAAGCTGTTGGTTTTGGATCGTTCTGATTGCAGCGGTCTTCATTCGTGATTAGTCATACAGTAACCGACTCGCATCAGAAGTAAAAACGCACTGTCCTCTCAACAGCATCCAATTATTGCTCTTCCGCCTCCTCAACAAGGATGCGCGCAATGGCCTCAGAAAGAGATCTTGCAAGCGATTGGGACCCGTGACAACACGCGGACTCTTCAATTGAGCCTTGCTTAATTTGTAATTCCAAAGATCAAAGGAATTGTCAAGGGCGGGCAAGCTCTTTCATAGATGTACTATTCCCAACTACAAGCAAGCTTGCGCATCAATCTTGCTCCCAACCAAAGATACACGGCAAGCCTATAACAAGCCGAGCCGAACAGTGGTTCCCCAAAGAAGGCAAAGTAAAGAAGAACGAGCAGCCAGCAAGCCACGAGCTGCGCAGCCTAAAATACGGGCCAAAAAAATTAGGATAGGGGATATACTATACTATAAATCAAGCCAAACTTCCCAAAAAAGAATAGGGGATTCTGAAGGCTCCTATGACCCCAAGCCCGAACTATGGCGACAAGCTGCCGTTGCAATGACGGAAGAGTGCCAATCCATTCTGAGAAAGCCAATTGGGATGTCATTGCCGTCGATGTCTTGGATGTACGTGCGATTCCTCAGCAGCATAGTGGAAAAAAGGAATGCCACAAATTCACGTACGAATTAGCAAGCTAAGTGTGGAGAAGTTCAGAAGAGTTGGGAGCTGAAGAGGTGGGGATCTGCAGGCACCTGAGACCTGGAATCTTCACATGTTCCGGGCGAAAGAACGAGTTCAGTTCTTACAGTTCCACGCTTCAGGACTGTGACAACGCGATATCAAAACGTCACAACTACACTCGTAAAACGGCCCCTGAACAGCCTGTGCGTCGCAGGTGCTTCTCCGGTACTGCTTCCGGCAAACCTCAGAAGGAGTCGTTCTTGTTTTGCCCCAGAGGTTTGCGAAGGGTTCCTGAAAAGCTGAACTCCGAACCCAAAACCTTAGGGCCTTAGGTGTAAGAATGTCAGGGTCAAAAAGTTTGATGCATTTGGTACGGCCTCAAGGCTTTGGAGAGCGTGTCTTGTTTTCGTGACTTCGGTGCTGCGGGGTCATGAGTCTATGTTTCATGCACTGGATTACTCATTGTCAGCTTGCCTACGTTCTTCCAACACTTGGTGCGAGACTGAAAGCCTACAAAGGTTCACATAAAAGGTTCCTCCTCTTTAAGGCCTCGGAGAAAGGACATTTCTTACCTCCGCATCCAGTGTTCAGGATATGGGCATTGACGGAGCTTTGCTGCTCAAGCTCTATACTAGGTGGGGCTTTTGAAGCTTTTGAAAAATATTAGTAAATAAGACCCTCTTAAGCCCAATAAGGGAAAATATAAAATGCCCCAAAGCCCTACCTAGTATAGCAAACATGTGGTCCTCCATGTTGCGAGCGGCCGCGAGGATCAGGGACTGTAAAAAACGGCAGCTCCGGGAGAAAAGGCTTTAGGGTTTAGGGTTTAGGGGTTTAGGGGTTTAGGGTTTAGGGTTTTAGGGTTTTTTTTACGACCGCCATGCGCCACCAATGCTGTTATGGTAGAAGGAAAATCGTCGTGCAAAGCGCGTAGGCGCTGCCGCCAAGCGAGCGGAGTAGCTGGGGTATTTCTGAAGGTACTGCTTCAGACCCAAGAAGTCTACTCTTAACTGGGAGGAGTAGCCGGGCTGTGTTTTGACGTCCTGTTGGAAGAACTCCAAAGCTTTATCCGATACTAATCCTAGCCAGTGCGGGGGGGGAGGACCACGTTTGCTGTTCTTTTGAATGCCTACTCTATCTTTGTAACCTGGGGAGAAGATTACGTGATGAATAGGGTCATTGTGAGGAGTAGCCAGGCTGGTAGTGAGCTGTTGTAGCTGCTCCTGTAGTATTATTTGGGATGGGAGAATGGGCTGTTCCGCTTTTAGCCAAACTGCTTTGTTGGTGATTCTGGAGTAATATGATGCTTTTATGCCTACCACTCTCCTTAGGAACTGGAAGTACCATCCGTCGATTTTCTTGAGATGTTTGTCTTCCAATGTGAGTGTGCAGAGGCCATAGAGGAGTACTGAGACGACGTAGGATCTGAATATGATCAACCTGGTTTTTTGGGGCACCGAAGTCTTCCAGAAGGCTGATAATTTGCAGTAGGCTATGTGGGCCTGGGAGAGCCTATGGTTGATTGCTTCGAGGGTGGGATTAGACCAAGCCACCATAGAACCTAAGTATTTGATTTTATCGTTGACTGGGGTTGGCGTGCTATCAATAAAAGAGGGCGGAGTAGTCGGTATGGGTGTCCTCAGATACTCTGTTTTGGTGAAGTTGAGGAATAGCCCATATAGCGTTGCCTCGGATTGTACATTGCGCAAGTATTCCTCTACCGCTGTAACTGTAACCCCAAATAAAAGAGTATCATCTGCATACTCTAGATCGTATACTGGTTTGCCAACAGACCATGTGTTTGTAGGCACACCGGTGCTGAGTAATCGACGGTCTACGTCTGAGAGGAGTACGGTCATTACAATTATAAAAAGGTAAGGGCTAAGTGGGCATCCTTGTCGAATGCCCGTGTGAGGAGTACCTTTAGCTTTTTCTCCATTTATTCCTACTGTATACAAAGTTGGGTTAGTGTAGATGTCTTTAATAAGATCTATGTAATGCTGATGAACCCCAAACCTGCGTAGTGCAATTAGCATGCTTTCGTGATCTACTTTGTCGAAAGCCATACGCCAATCCAGAAAAACCATATGGAACTGCTGACCGGTCCTGGCGGAGTAGTCTTGTAATCTGCGGACTATGAACAGAGGATGCAAAGTGCTTTTGCCCTTTCTGAATCCATACTGTGTTTGGCGGAGTAGCTGATCGTAATTCTGCGCCAGTCTGGCCTGTATTAGAGACGCGTAGACTTTGTACAGCGTATTTAGCAGCGCGATTGGGCGGTAATTCGTTGCGTCGGCGTCGTCGCCCTTCCCTTTGTAAAAGGAGCAGGCTATTGCGTCTTTCCAGTCCTGTGGCATCGTTTTGTTTACCCAGCATGTGTTCATTAAGTCCAACAGTTGGTTTTCCCCAAACGTATCGAGGAGGAGTAGTAGATCCTGTCTCAGAGAGTCAGGACCTGGCGCTTTGCCTTTCTTAAGTTTGTTAAGCGCCGCAGTGAGCTCCGGCATGGTGAAAGGTTTCTGCGGGGTTGCGTCCTGTGGGCGTAGTGGCGGCGTATCCCGGAGGAGGTGGTGCTCCTCTGAAGATACCTGAGTAGGAGCCCACTGAGATTGCGTGAGATGTGTGGCGAATGCTTCGTGGGTTTTCGACCATGGGATCTGTCGTCCGTCCACCACAAGTCGACGTTTGCGCTCTGAGAAGCCTTTTTTGAGTTTGCGGAGATTAGCCCAGAGGGAGTGGTGACTGGGATTGGGATTGTTTTCGAAGGTGGCCTTGGTCCATTCTCTTTTACGTTTTCTAGCTTCTTTTTTGAGGTCTTTATAGTAAGCGGAGTAGTTGGGGTCCAGCGCTGCGTTCATTCGTTTGGCAATGCTGAGTCTTTCTGCCAAGTCCGGAGTGATCCAGGGTCGTTGCGGAGTAGCCGGGTTTGGTGGGAACACTTCCTTTTCGGCCGCGAGGGCTGCTGAGAGGAAGCGTTCGTATTTGTCTTGAGTCGTGCCTTGCGTTGGGGTAGAGTCTTGCGTTAGGTCTTCCAAAAGGAGTGGAGATTTTTGCGTAAATCTGCCTCCCTTGGCCTTATGCGAAAGTTTACCGGTTTCCGCTAGCGCGTCAGCGCGCTCATTGTATGTATTTCCTTTGTGTCCCTTAACCCATTGCCACCTGATACGGGTGGTTTGTTCGAGTTGTTGGCGGAGTAATCTGGCGGAGTGAACCATTTCTTTATGTCTTTTTGGTCTAGCCTGTCCGCGTACCATTTGCGCCATCCATTTGCTATCATAATAGAACGTGACGTCCGCTGGCGGATTGGCTCGGATTATGTAAGCGCATGCTTCCATCCAGGCCTGTAGTTCTCCCGTATTATTACTGCCGACTTTTGCGCCGAACGTAAAGGGGTGCGTGTCGTCAGTTATAACGGGCCCGCTAGACTCTTCTAGCACGTCGTCCTCCGCCAATATAACATATCCCCACCCGGCTGGGGTGTGTTTGTGACATCGTCCTTGTGAGCCGGAGCCGTCTGTGTAAACCTCGACGTTTACATCTGGAGGAGTAGCCAGTGGTGTTGTTTGTGCATTTCGAGCGTAGTGCTTGCGGAAAGCTTGAGCAAATTCTGTGTTGGCGGAGTAGTCTCTAGTGGGTGGTCTAGAGGTTTTAGGGATCTTGGCTCCTAATTTTACCCTGCATTCCGCTACAAGGAGATAGTGGTCACTGGGGAATCCCGTGTCGTGGTGCGCCCTGACATTAAGTACACTAGGAAGCCATTTGCGTCTAGTGATCACCTTATCTAGACTCTGAAATCGTAGAGAGTCTACTCTAGGTGGAATGGGAGCCGAGGATGGAAGCGGGTCTGCCGTTACGAATGATCGTATACTGCTAGCGATGTTCAAGCGGTCTGTTTCTGGTGTCGGTAGGGCCTGTATTCTATCGTACAGGTGTAGCCATCCCAAGGGATCTGTTACAAAGCCGCTCCAGTCAGGTGGCGGGGGGGACTTATCCCTGTAAGTAATGTGATGCTTTAAGTTGGGTGTCTTAAATGTCATCACATCTACGGCGGAGTGGCCAGTGAGCATGTTCATGTATAAGGTGCGGTTATCCTCCGGTTTTCTTTGGGCAAACTGCCGACCCTTACCATACACGTGCGGTCCTAATTCTTGTGTTTCCTGAGAGCTGCGGCCCTGGAGTCTAACATTCATGTCCCCTATTATAAATGTAGGTTCTGGTAGAGGAGTAGCCGAAAAAATGTCTTCGAGGGCGTCCCAGAAGGTGTGTTTGAGTGTGTTGTCCATTTTGTTGTGTGGGGCATACGCTCCGATCACGTGGGTTTTTCCTTCTCGACAGGCGATTGTGATTTGATTGAGACGAGGGGAGTGTTGCACAACATCGTGTATGTACGGGCGGATATGTGGTGCAATGATTGTGGTGACCCCTGCATATGGGTCCTTGGTTGATCCATTAACAATGAATTGATACCCTTGTGAGTTGTAAGAGTAGTATGATTTGCTTCGTGTTTCCGTTAGGATAAGCACATCCAAACCATACTTTGTCATGAGGCTGATCGTTTGTTGGTGTTTCAGGATTTCTGCCATCCCTTGTACATTTTGCGTTGCGATTTTTAGTTTTTCTCCATATGGTTTTTGGGGAGTAGCCTTGGTTGTGGGCTGTTTCCCCCGTCGTGGTCCTTTCCATTCGGCATTTTTAAGGAGTTCCTTAAAGTGTTTTGCCGTTGAAGTCCCCGCTGAACGCTTGGCGGCAGCGTTCAAGGGCTTCCCCTCTTTGCCCGTGTCCTTGCCCAAGCGACCCAGGCGTATTAGCACCTTACGCGCGCGACGCCAACGGCGGTATTCACGCCGCCGTTCGCGCCGAGCGCTGGGCCCGTGACCCAAAAAGGTGCGGAGTGGAGGGGAGGCGGGTGTGCACTCTTCGTTTGCCGAAGCACCCGGCGCGCCTCGTGGAGGCGGTGCTAGCTCCTTTGTTTCCCGTTGTGAATTCTTATAAATTCTTTGTGTTGTGAATTCTGAATTGGTCAGCGCTCCTTTAGGAGGTTTGACTAGTGAAACTGGCGTGGCGGCAGGGCGGAGCCCCGTACTTCTGAGGAGTAGCCGAGATTTTGTATAAAATCTGACACCTTGTGATGTCCTATGTGTGACACGGCGGCCTGTTCTTGCTTTAGTCGGGGTTGCAAGCTGAGGTGAAGGCTGCAGGACTGGTAGGTTAATTGTATTTGAGGTTTTGGTAGGGGGTTTAAGACTGAGGAGGAGTGATCTAGGGATTCGGGTGTTTGGTATTGGTGTCTCAGGTTCCCTGAGGAGGGTCTCGAGGTTCAAGGTTACCGTGTTGCCGAATTTAGAATGTTGCATTTTATTTCTAGCAACTTGGAGTATCTTATCTATTCCATTGGTTGTATTGTATGCTAAAGCGTACATTAAGGAGGCATCGCATATCACTACTACGGGATGAGATCTGTGCGGGGTGGTGTAGTAAAATACAGCCAAACTAACGTGGAGGAGTAGCCTAAGGGATGGGGATACCGAAATATTACCTGTGATGTTGCGTTTGCCCCTCCTGCATTGCTTCCTACGAACCGGCCTGAAATCCAAACCTACTCGGCAGAGCTTCCTATGCCCTAAACCCTGGTTAAAATGTTTCAAGGCATGAGCAACTTGGGGCTTAAAGCTCGTTGCTTGGCGACACTGGCGAATTAGAAAAGACTCCGAGGGCTCCGCAGAAGGCTTCTGCCGAGGCTGGGGGGAGCACAGCCTGTACCAGGCGGCAGCTTCTAGAAAGGAGTAGCCTGGCCAGCCTAGCATAGAAAGTTTCAAAAGAAGCGTGCATCGACCCCGTGGGAGCGGCGGAGTAGACCCTCGGCATGATTCAAAAATGCAAAGAGCGGCCTTTCAGGCCGGGCCAGCTGGAGCCGCAGCTTTTGCGAAGCTCGCTGGCGGAGTAGCTGAGGGGGGCATCACACCAACCGAGGGAGCTCCGGAGTACGTCCCGGCGGAGTAATCGCCCACTTTGTGATCTGGTGACATTTTGTCACAGTATTCATCCCAGCAAAATGCTACCTGTGACACCCGGACCGTAGTCAACTCAATTGGGTACGGGTTCAGGCTGGAGGAGTAGACGAAGCCCTGGGTCCAGTGTCGGCTCGGTTTGCCGATATTGGTCCCACGGCCCGAAACTGTAGCCAGGCGTGCCGCTCGCTCGAAGGAAGCTTTGTCTGCTGCATCGAGCTCCGACTGTACACCAAAAACGACCTTGTTCCACATGTAGGACCACATGTCCTTTTCTTCGGCGCCAATCGGAGGAGTAGCCGCACAGGCCGTGAACAGGGGGTCCGCAATCTCCAAGCGGGCTTTAAAAGTCCCCTTCTCCTCTGCATAAAAAAGGCGTGCAACTGCGGTGGCCTGCTCATCGAATTGGCGGGTCGCCTGTGGGGACATAATGGTCAATGTCTTCCACAGGACCACCACCTGACTGTGCTCCAGCACCTCGCTTTCATTGATCAGAGCGAGTAACACTCGGAGCGGAGTCTCCAACTTCCTTTGGAATTGGGGACTGCAAGGAGTAGCCCTAATATGTCGGCCGCGAACCGGTGTGTGGGAGTCTCTCCACAGAGGAGTACCGGTCGCACCGCCAAAAGCTTGCATGAACTCCTTCCGAAGATCCCATGCCTTAAAAGTCCGGATAGTGATCGTGCTCCACTGTTTCCCCGACGGAGGAGTAGCCGGGTCAACCTGAAGCGCATTTAAAAAGACTTGCTCAGCGGTCAGATCGGAGTAACCACGGCGGGTGAGCCAAGTGCGAATAAAGCCCACCTGTTGCAGCATCCAGTCCACCATGAAATGGCGCTCCTCAGCGGTAATCGTGGGATCCCAGCCAGTGAGGAGTACTTGGAGGCCGCAAGTCCTCTTCTGCTCCGTTCGCGACTCTGAGCTCAACCAGTGAAGGTCCGCAGTGTTCCGCAAAATGCGGTCATCCAGGTTCTTGACTACACTCTCGACCTGTGTAATCAAGTTGTACAGCTCGCTGCGGATTACTCCAACGTGGTAGTTGCGGACGATGTCGAAGACGTCCTGACGCGTTGCCACTGCGCCCTGCATGTATTCTGCCACTGCCTGCGGGTTGTTAGCATCCACCCCCGCTTCCACCGCGGTAAGCGTAGTAGCCGTGTCTGCTGCGATGTTGAACGGGTTGAAAAGGCGGAGTGTTTGCGCCGGTTCCTGAGACCCAGTGGCCGCTTCTGTGTGAGGCATCTCCTCGTCCTCCTGAGGAGTAGCCAAACCAGTGCTCGAAATACCAGCTGCTGACGGTGGTCCGCGCTTCATCTGCTTGCGCTGCTCGAACCACATTTGCTGATATGACTCTGTGACCTCCGCGTACTGCTTGGAACGTGTCTGCACCTCCTGAGTGCTAAAGACCTTGGAGAGCTCCTGAGTGTTACCGGGGCCCGACATTGCTTCCAGGCTCCAGAGAGGAGTAGCCGAAGCTGTTTCCTCAACACTAGCCCGCTGAAAAACGAAAGTGAAACCTATGCAAAACTGAAGCATCCTCAAACCACCTTTGCGGAGAGTAGCCATGCTGAAACCATGCACCAACATGCGCGGGAAGCTGAAAGCCGAAGCGCCTGTTTTAGGGTTTAGGGTTTAGGGTTTAGGGTTTTAGGGTTTAGGGTTTAGGGGCTTAGGGTAGCTTGTAAGTTGAGGGGGCCTCCATGCCATCTGCAAGCTGAGCCGCAGTCCCCGACAACTGGTGCCGGTGCCCAACACAGCAGACAAAGAACCAGGAATAAAGCATGATTGTAGGACGTTGTCATCTGTCCACATGTTCTCCTCGGTTGAATGTCGAATCGGGGGGCACAACAAGACATAAGTGTAAGGTCCGAAATAAGTTATATGCAGGTCTGCAACCCGGGGATTGTGCCAGATAGTACGCTTGTGATACCCTTTAATACGATGTGTGGGTTTCTTGCAGTAACACGCCTCGGGGCACATCCCACTAAACTCCAAATAAAAATTAAAAATGAAAAAGAGCAAGTCGACAATCCTCACCTATCAGCCACAAAAGGAAAGCCCAAGCTGGTTTAGGGCTTTCAGGTGTAGGTAAAGGGTTGAGGGTTTGGGGTCGCAGAACAACCCTAAACTCTGGACCAACCCCTGCTTCGGGGTCAAGGTTCCGTGCTCGCCAGAGTTGCATTCCTACGGCACCGCCGCCATATTAGCACTCGCTAGACGCAGGTTATCTACAATCGTCGGACAACATTGAGTTTCTTTCGTCTGTTGTGTCAGGAGAGGAAAGAACGGATTTTTGATTGCGGCCAAACGCTGATCTTAGCACCATGTTGCCTCCTTCGGGCAAGTGGATATACTAACCCCAAAGTAGAGCTGTTTAAACATCTATATGCCGTCAAACTCCATGTTAATAAACAGCTGGAGCCACGATGGGCCTGAGCCGAACCGTCGGCGCGAACAGGCTTTGCGGCTCACAACTACAGAAAGCCAAGATGTGACGTCGGCACCATGTCTCCCCCAAAAACCCTACCGGAAGCGTGTTTCGTGCTCCTTCGCCCTGGCCCCTGGAAATGCTTGTTTGATACGATCTACAGTGTCAGTCACAAGAGGACAGTACAGGGGCCGGAATTATCAGAATGAGGTTTCGAGGGTGGCACCAGTACACGATCAGTCTACCGACAAGGGTTATGAAGAGATAAACGATGGTTGAAAGTGGCGAGGATTGGAGATACATGTTGAAAAAGTTTCGGACACTCCTGGCAAACAAAACTGCCAACCAAACGTCGCTGAGGAAATTTCGCAGAGCCAACGTACATTCCAAACAAGTCTACGATCCTTATGCCCTCGGCGCAAACCCGAAAAGCACCCTCGAGCCGTGCGTGTCAAGGGCCCCTCTTCACGGATGGTTGGAGAATGTGAGTCAAAATTAAGGTGTCGATTTCAACAACCCTCAAATTGTTTGAAAATAAGGGCCCTATAATAAACATTAAAGAAAGATAGAAATGATCCCATTTCCATACCTATTATAGGATTCAAAAGTGAGAGACCTGATGCCCGGCCCGCTAAACTGCAGAGTCTAGGACAACTAGCCTCAGGGAATTCCAGATATCTATTAAGGCCAGAGTTTGAGCTAATGCAGCCGCATCATTGCCGAACTGCTGACCCTGACCCTATGAGTGACAAGATATATCCATGTCGAATTCTCACAGGAGGACTTAAAGCTTGACCGTAACCTAACCTGCAGAACGTTTGTCTGTAACGAGCAAAGCATTGAGTTGTGCTCCTGCCGACAGGGGAGGGGAAGACTGTATTTCGATTTTGTGGAACCATAAGAAGCTAGTAATCATAAATGGGACTAGGCAGTTCCCCTATGATTTGTGTTGTTTGTTCTAGTCCTATGGAACCTGTTCATATTATAGCACTTGAACCGTCAAATCTGTTGATGCTGTGAAGACTGGAGAAGGCCAGGACTTCGTTCTTCATACCTATGAAGTCTCTCACAGGATGGAGGCAACGGGCATTATTTTGTTGCTGAAATGCTTAAGCACACCCCGCTCTAGTTCTTGTCGAAGCCTTGTACTGAACCCTTTTTGTTGCAGGCTTCCTCGCAAGGACGCCTGGTAGTACTGAACCCTAAACCCTGAACCCTGAGCTTTAAAAAGCATCCTCAGTGCCTATAATGGGCTATATAATGGGTATATAATAGCTGTATTAAGGGTATATACCTAGGGGTCCTTAATAAAGGGCCCCTCCTTTTACCCTTGGAGCCTTGATGCTGCGCGACGAGCCGTCCATCTCCACGTCTGCTTCGGGATCCTCGCCTCTGATTTGGCTTGCTCTACCCGTAAGCCCCATAGTAGTTCCTTTTGGGGGTTCATATTTAAAGTTTCTATAAGGTAACCGCAAAAAGGAACTACTATGGGGCCTATGGGTAGTTTTGACACTCACTCTCGGACAAGCCTGGCAAGTTTAGGGTTTAGGTTTCGGGTTTAAGGCTTATGCGGGTCACTAGTCCTATCGCAGCACAGGGGCGGGTAAATGTATGCCGCTGGATCTAGATCATCTCATCCAACGACAGCGGATGGTCGGGTTTATCGCAAAGTGTCAAACAAAGCCGAAATCAAAGATCAAAGTCCTGGAGCCTAAAACCGAAAGCCTCAATCTGAATTCTGTGAAGCTGATTTAATATCATGAAAGCCTTCCGCCTTAACAGCCGAAACTCCAAATCCTGACACTACAAGCCAAGCGATAGCCCCAGAGCCCTGAACCCCGAAGCTCACGTCCTAAAACCCTAACAGCACCGAATAGTCCGAGACCCCTACGCCCTACGCAGCAACCGTAAACCCTCTACAGCTCTGTGGAATAGCAACAAAAGCTTATGCAAAAGCGCACTCGCTCATGCACAGACAATCAAAATCAGTCCCTTCAGAAACAGCACCCTCTTTGGCTGCTGGACTCAAGCCTAGCAAAAACAGCACCCCAGACCCTGAAGAAACCAAAACCCTAAACAGCCGTTTTTGCTACTGGACTCAAGTCTACCCATACGACCTTAGACTCCTAAAACCTGAACCCCTTAACTCCCAAAACAACGGCAACCAGACTCCATAGCCTTCGAGCTCTACTCTCACCTTCTCCAGCTTTTCTCTCATGCCCTGGAGATCGTTTTCTTGGGCTTTTGGGTTTAGGGTTTAGGGGGGTGGTTTGTGGCCCAGGGTTCAGGGTTCGGGGCTTTCGGGTTTCGGCGCTGTCGACTCTGGCGTGTTGGGTGGTCTGGGGAGTTGGGGGTTTGGGGGATTGAGCGCTTCGACGTTGTGTGTAGCGTTCAGGCAGGGCTTTTTTGAGGGTGGGTGAAATTCACCGTAACTTTAGCTGTAGTAACGCCAATGGGGGCTGCACTTTCTCTTAGAATGAAACTTACAGAACCACATCTTTGAAGCTATACTGTAAACCATACCGCATAACTTGCCCTATGCCCCAAACCACAAACGCCCCGAAACCCGTGAACCTTCAAGCAGATCCAGGCTAGGCTCCGAAGAATGCAAAAGGCTTCGGACTGTTGAGAAGCTTCGGCTTGTGTCTAGGGTTTGCGTGTTGGGTTTGGGGGTGGTTAGGGTGTCAACTTGGGCATCCGACACAAGCAGATCAACAGCTTCGAGGTGCAATGTGAACCTCTCATGGGCGGCAGGTCTTGATACCCAGGTCACAAAAATTTTCGTTAGTTCATGGACAAGGCTTGGGCTTGGTTTGTCAGTGGTTTATGCAGGGACTTCCATGTCAGGGTCTGGTCATTCTTAAGCCCTGGATCAATCGTGGACCTTATCCCGAAACCCAGAGAGGCCAAAGCAGGTTGAGCCACATCAATGGAAAATTATCCTGCATTACCCTGCGCAAGTGGGGTTATAGCTACTGTCATAGCACTTATGCGCTGGCTCCGTCGTACTATGTCATCGCAGGCCGCCAGACAATGAAGCACAATACAGCAGATACAATAGAACCCAGGAGCACATACGAGCACCACGCCAGGAAAACACATGGAGCCAAGCGGGACACCACAAGGAGACCACAGCCAAACCAAGTACTTCTGTTGATGATATAAATTGGTATATAAATCCTGCATTACCTTAAGGACCCTAAACTATGGAAATTATGGTATACCAATTACTTGTTGTGGGTCATGCAGGATTTATATCATCAACCGTTCCTTCACGGGAATGTGGACGGATTCAGGAGCATGGCCCACATGCTTCGCCAAAAGTTCTGGCGGATTCAGAAGCACGCTCCATGCCTCCCCCCGACCACCGGCACCTTTCAGGAGCAGGTCCAATAATGCTCTCCCAAGTACTGGCGGGATTCAAGAGGACGGTGGCCAACATGTATCTCCCAAGGTTCTGGCGGGATTCAATGATTTCGGGGGCAGAAGAAACCGGAATTTACACCTCGACAAGAAGCTTAACCTGAAAAAGACAACGCGTTCAACTGGGTCTTAGCTTCCAGAAAACCCAAGTGTCTGGGCCACGTGCCTTCTGCATCTCCCCGCGGATGTGTGCCCGCCTCCCACGATGGCGCTGCACGCGGAGAGGCTGCTTCTCAGATAGTTAAGGCTTGCGATTTTGGTGAGCTCCTTTTCTACGATCGTTACAGGTCTCGAAGAGGTTTTTTGTTCAGGGTTTCGGCGCTCACCCTCGGACACTCCAGGGGAGGCCTGTACCCTCACGATACCGCCAACTCGAACCCTCAATTGTAAAGGGGCTTAGGGTTTAGGGTTTGGAGTCTAGAGTTCAGCGCTAAACAGTCACCAACGAAATCATAGTGAGAGGCACGGGGCAAAAATGAGAACCCTGCACAACTACAGTATATGCTATCTGGGCACCCGATTCAAATGGCCCGTAAAAAAACACCCTAAACCCTATACCCCAAACCTTAACCGTGGCCTAAGGAACCCTTAAGACGACCCTTGCAGGATGCCACACCCCCAGATCCGCAAAAGCCTCCCCAAAGGCTGAAGCCGAAAAGAGTTGAAGCTTAAATGCAAAACAAAATCAGCTGAAGCAAGAAGCCCTCAAAGAGACGAATCCCAGCTACACCCCAAACCCAAAACCCCTATAGTAGCCTTTATAGACCCCTTTAAAAGGAACCCTAATCTAATAATAGATTTAATTATTGAGCTATACCCCCCTTTAGAACAATAAGAATAATATTATTGTTAATATTCTCTTGGGTTATACATGAACAAAAATAAACAAAAACAATTCCTAAAAAGACTCTGGATTAACGCCCCTGGGATCTCCCGAAGCATTGGCCTGGCTAGCCGAAGCTCCTGCTTCTTCTTTTGCGCCTTCGGAACTTAGGTGTTTTTTCCCCTACTTGGAGGGTCGGGGGACTTAGTAACTGGTTATTTTCGGGACTTATAAGAACCATAACCCCAATTAGGGTCCCTTTTAGGGTACTTATAAGCCCCCGGCCCTCCTACTAGGCAAGGACGAAGCCCGCAGGGTGCTTGGTTGAACAGAAGGTTTCTTTTGAGGGCTCGTTTCCAACTTGTTAACGGGAATGCAGGTTTTTTTTTTTTTTTTTGCGGGCCCTTTTCCGACTGCATTACCGGGTTTAGGGGTTGAACTTACGCTTCCGAGCTGGCTGAAGGGCATTGAGAAAGGAAGCAGGGGCACTTGGAATGGGCAGTGAAGA